GTTCATCCATGTTACTGCAAATTACAGGATTTCCTTCTCCAACAAGGCTGGGTAGTATTCCACTACGTATATATAATCTCACATCTTCCTTGTCCACTCAGCCACTGGTGGCCATTTCGGATGATGCCATGTCTTGACTACTGTGAAGAATGCTGCCCTGAACATGGGAGTGGAGATCTCTCACTAACACATTCATGTCATTTCCTGTGTGATTTCTGGTCACACACACGGAGATGTACGTTCTCCCAGCTGTGCTCTCACATGGGGTACTGGACTCAGACATCTCAGTTTACCTTAGTGCGCACGATGATCTCCAACAAGTCATTAAGCTATTTTTTTCAAGAAAAGAGATGCTGAAATCTAACCTTCAGATTTGCTAGATGAGGATGAAGAGCAAAAATATATTCTACTTTTTTCAGTGATGTGCTTCAAACTCCAAACAGCACTGCCCACGTGGGAGAGCAGCCTGAGCCTGAAGCTCTCTGCCGTGTATCAGAACCCCGCAGAGCGGGCACCCCATGCCATACACGCCTGTGTCCATTTTCCCACAAGACAGTGCTCTCCCTCATCCAGAGCTGAGAGCCCAGGACACGGGTGCACCGTGTGTGCCCTGCACCTGCCTGCGACCCTTAGCATCAGCTGTCTGTTGCTACTGCCCTCTCCTCATCCTTCTCAGCCGCACAAGTGTCTAGGAAAGCCTTGCGCAGAGGCTGCTGCTCCACGCAGCTCTGTAAAGTGGCTCTGCCTCATCTCTGTAACGCAGGCTACAGAGGCCTGTGGGTTAGGGCCTTGGGAGGATGCCCATCTGGGCACCCCTTGCCCTGACCTGCTGCTCCTCTGCCTTTCAGGGTTCCAGCTGCCTCTGTGGAACCAGGCAGGCAGTGATCTGAAGGAGGTCGCCAGGCTGTAAACATCCCACCATGATGGCAGGCCATGGTGAAACAAAGATGCTCAGTTTGTGGTGACCCGGAAGCAGAGTAGGGGAACAACACTGGAGAGGAAAGGATGAGCGATCAGACCTAGTACCCAAGGTCACCCTTTGTGACCCACCCAGATGCACATCTGCTACGGATTTCTTTTTTTTTTTTTTTATTAAATTCTTTTATTGGTACATTGTAGGTATACAACACAATTACATTTCTCATTGGGAATTGGACCTTTAGATAATGCATCTTGGTTCTTATTTTCTCCCCATTCCTAGCCCTCCCTTCACACCCTCCACCCTTCCCTATTTACAAAGACTTTATTTCCATTTTTTCCATTTCTCATCATTTTTCCTTTCCCTTCTTTCCTTTCCCCTGGCCCTCGCACTACCCCTACCCCTTTGGACCTTTTCTTCCTATTTTACATTATCGATTATTCATTCTAATCATTGGTACATTTTAGGTATACAATATAATGACATTCATCATTGGAAATTTGCACCTTTACATAGTCTCTCTTGGTTCTTATTTTTCACCCTTGCCCAGCCCTCCCTTCAACTCCTCCATTCCTCCCTATTTACAAAGATTTTGTTCCTATTTTTCCACTTTCTCAGATTAATCCCATTCCCTTCTATCCTTTCCTCTAGCCCTCCACTTCCTTCCCCTTTGCCCCTTTTCTTCCTATTTCACATTACCTATTATACATTTTAGTCCTTATTTACACTTTCGGTTTCTCACACCAGAGAAACTATTCGGTATTTATTCATGTGTGTCCTATTTATTTCACTTAAGAGTATTGCCTCAATGTGCATCCACTTAGCTGCTACAGATTTCTTAACACAGTAAAGTTGCACATCAGGATTAACGGCCACACTGTTCGGCTGACTCTTCTCTTTGCTGTTTGCACATCCAAACACACAGGCTGTCTGTGCACATGCGCACTAAGGCAAGCTACTGTCTTCGTCTGTGTTGCTATAACAGACTGCCACAGACTGGGAACTTATGAAGAAAAGAACTGAATTTCTTACAGTTGTAGAGACTGCAAAGTACAAGGTCTAGGGGCCCACATCTGGCAGGGACTTCTTGCTGCGCATCCCGTAGCAAAAGGGAAGAAGGGAAGAGATCCATAGCAAAGATGCATGAGGGAAAGCAAGGGAGGGCTGGACTCATTTTTACAGCAAACTACTCTCCAGGTAGCAATCCGTTGGTGAAGATGGCGACGTTGATCCATTTGTGAGAGCAGACTCCTCAACACCCAGTCACCTCTAGAAGGTCTCTCTCCTCAACGCCATTGCAACGGAGGTTAGCTTTCCCCCACGTGAGCTCCGGGGACACACTCAAACTGTAGTGGATTCGGATTTCCTTGAGTTTGGTTAAAACATCTTCTGAACAGCACAGGACAGCAGGTGCAGGTGAAGGACTTCATTCCCTTTCTCAAGAGCGCTGATCTGAAAGAGGCACAGGGAAACCTGGATGCATCCCCGGGAAGGCCCACCTGTAACAAAGGCATGATTGTGCCTGGTTTGGAGGACAAAGCTTTATTTTCCTGAATAGTCTGTGAATGCCACTCTGAGTGTGCTGATGCTCCCGGGACCAGGAGTCTGCAGCACACCTGTGTTTTGTTCCAAATTGCCTGCAATGAACATGCACTGTACGTCCTTCCACCCTCCAGCTCTTATGCGGAGGACAGAACTTCCTACCACTTAAGTGACCCAGCTTATGCTGCAGGAGGACACTGCCAGCGTGAGGGAGGGCGTGGGCAGCCCTGTGAGGGGTCACTGGGGAATCCCATTGAGAGGCTTTGAAATCTGACCATGCCCACATGCAATTTTTCCTTCCTAAAGGGTCCTGAGGATACTATGACCATTGTTCTTCAACCAAGCCCACCACATCCTGTGCATCACAGGCACACCTGCTTTGGGTGTGAATAGAGAACTTACGCACATCCCATGTTGAAGCACATTTTTACACACACACACACTCTCTCTCTCAATATAGTTCTTGTATATTTTTGTATATTTTTTGGTTAATATTTTAGCAGAGGATTGTAATGTATTTTCGGGATGGAACTGATTTTTGCTAGAGGGCTGTGATCTTTTCCCGGGGTCCCCAGATTGAATGATTACAGGAGTCGGGTGGATGCCTTATGTTTCAGATCATAAGACATTAGGGAAAGGTACAGATTCTGCATCCCATGATAGCCCATATGCAGTCTTTAAAAGCTGCCTGACAAGTCTGTGGTTCTAAGCAGCAGCCCCCAGGCCTGAGGCCTCCCTCCACCTGGCCCCCACAGGGTAGCTGCCTCCTCTGCCTGCATCTGTCCTTTCTGCCCTGGTGCTGGGCGGGTGTGGTGTGCTGCTTCTCTCACAGTTCATCCTACACACTTCCCTGATGTTCAGCTAGGCTTTGAGGTCTTGCAGTGCTGGGGCAGCAGATGCAGACTTCGACCTCAGCTCCACCAGCTCTGGTTTAAATTCTTGGAACTTCAGTTTCCTCAGCTGTGAGACTAGAATTATTATTCCTTCTTCAGGATTATTTATGGCTGTAGTAATTGTATAAGGTGCTTAGCATGTGACATAAGTTCAATAAATTAGCTGGATGGATCATCTCAAAGGGACCAAATCTCAGTAGGGCCCAGGACTTACCCGGGGCTAGCGGCCCCTTGCGGGGGTACAGGCAGAACCCACGCTGGGGAGCTAGGAGGGAGCCGGGTGTGGGGAGCAGCACTCAGACAGGGCTGACAAGCAGGGAGCCAGGGTCCCAGGCCTCCTCCCATTCTGCCATGGTGCAGATCCCAGAGGACCCCAGTGCCTGCTCGGGGCGGACAGGGTCCTGTGGCCTCTGTGCTGCAGGGCAGCTCCAGAGAACCACAAAAGGTGCCAAAGGCAGAGGCTGTGGCCATTGAGTTCCTCAAACGTTTCTCACCCTTCTCACCCCAGGGAGCAGTGATGGCAAAACTTTTAGGGACCAGTGCCAAACTGCAGCCCGAAACTCACTTACTAATCGAAAAGCGCCAACACTACAATTAAACCCAAATACTGAGGTTTTAGTTTAGAAAAAGCAACTCATATATTAACATCTTTTGTCTGGAAAGAAAAACAACACACAAGCCACTGGTTCTCTGCCGCGGGCGTAGGTGCCCTCCAGGCCGGGCCCTCCTGTCTCTCTCCAACAGTGACCCCACGCCAGTCCCAGCCGCCAGCGGCCTCCCTCCCAGCAGGCTTCCCTGGCAACTCAGTACCACTACCTTCAGCTCTCCTTTTACTTTCTCCTACCATGAGTTTTGCAGCTAATGAGCTTCCCCTATCCTCTGATTACATGACTCTGGGCACCAGCTGAGGAACCACCCAGCAATCCATTTATTCACCACTGGTCTTCCCATCATTCTTTCCCAACCCCTTAATTTTCACCACTGCTGCAAACCAAGGGATGGTTATTCCCCTAATAAATATGAGGAGAAGCGGCTATTGAATGTGAATCATTAGCAAAAGCATTGTTGGGATGCTTGACCTGAAGACCAAGTGTTAGACAGCTCAGTTAATGCCCATTAGGATTTACCTAATATTGAGTAGGATTTCTCCTTATTAAAAATGAGCTTGTCATTCATATTGATCACAGAGCTCTGCATCTTTATTCATTTATCAGGTCCTTCTTGAACATCTATTGAGCCCAGGATTGTGCTATTGACTTTGGAGAAGTGGCTGGAGGAGCTGTCAAAGGGTAACTGCTCAATTCTCACCCCAGGATCTCTGGACATTGACAGCTACCTGCAGGCTAGCATCAGGCAGGGTGGTGGAACAGCTCTTGGAAGTGCAGGCATGCATTCAGAGAGTATTGCAGAGTGCCGTCCTCACCTCATTCTGTGACATTGCTCACATCTCTTCAATTCTTCAAGCACATGTGCAGGCTCAGCGGAGTCCAGGTTCAGCCAGCCAGGGAGTGGCCAAGCTAGGGTCAAACCAAGATTTCTCTGGCTATGAAACTGCTGCCTTTCCTACTCCATCAAGCTATTTATGCCAGGAAAAGACACAAGGCCTTGCATAATTAAATACCCAATCCTTGATTCTGATTCTGCAGGCATTTAGAAGGGAAAGAGGCTGCTCAGTGACTTTTGGAGACTTTGGCCAAGATTTTGCTGAGGAGTGGAGATGGGAGGGGAACTCACCGATCCCTGTGAGGCACTTGGAAAATATAAGCAGATACTTAAGCCACAGCTGGGCAAGGTGAGAGCATTTCACTATAACAGGTGTGTGGGGGTGGGAGCTGGCTGTGGGTGGGCGGAGTTGGCTGTTCACTTTCCAGGGTGGGCCTCCTGGAGCTTGTGTCCCTCCTGGGGGCTTTTATACCCTCAGTTTTGTAGGTTTGGAATTTCAGCTTTTTCCACGGGCCAGGCATTGAGATTCTGGGGAATGGACTGGATAAGACCGAACAGGACTCTGCTCCAGGGGGTGAGTTGAGGAGCCGCTGTGGAGGTTTACAGCAGAAGGCGCCTCCAGCGGGGGTCAGAGGTCAGCCACAGGCGCTGGCGGGGGAGGGGGGGCAGGAGTGTTCCCTGGGGAGCCCAGACAGAAGCAGAGGGGGTTGGCTGTCCCCAGGGAATGTTGCCACCTACTTATCTTGGAGGAACTTTGCCTCCGTGGGACTCAGAACCCCATTTGTTGGGCAGGGGTGATGAAAGGCTTATTCCCCCATGGCCCCGCCACCCCAGTGCCCAGTACAGCAGCACAGCATCACCAGGATAACTTACAAGTCATCAGGTACAGCCATCGGTTCCATTTCTCTTTTATTTCCTTGATGGGGCTTTATTTCTTACCGTGATCAAAGGCACATAACAAAATTTGCTGCTTTAAATACCCTCAAGAGGACAGTTCAGTGGCATCGAGGGTGGCCCCATTCCTTGGCAGCCATCACCACCAGCCAGCTCCAGAGCTTTTATTATTTTTTTTATCTTTCCAAACTGAAACTCTGTACTTAATAAACAATCAGTCCTCATTTTTCCTTTTTCTGACCCCTTGTATTCTGATGGGACTTTGAGACAGCCTCAGAAAAACTTCCTCAAGTGTATATAAGTCTTCATGGGTGTCATGTTTACACAGAGACCCTGAGATTTCCCTCCAGAGACTCTGGCTCAGCAGGACTGCAGTGAGCCAGGGACTCAAGTTCCTGTGCTGCTGATGCGGGTGGTTTGACCTTACAGCAAGATGTTCACTCTTTCCTGGTCCTCCAGCCCTGCCAACCACTTCCCCCTGAAAGTCCCCTGGGCTGCTGAGCAGTGAGTAGTGCCACCGGGCCGCCGGACCAGAGGACATGTGGTCCCCTCCTGCCTCTGCCCATCTGCTGGCCCTCTCAGGATCTGGGAAGAACACCAGCTTCTGAGGCTGTGAAATATTTATCCTTTCCTCGCTGCATCCTTTACAATCACTCTGCCACAAGGATGTTTTGCTTTGACAGCTCCTTGAGGAGTACAGTAGGGGCTGCTTGAAGTGATTTATATATTTCCATTGACTAGAAATTGGGACAATTCCAGAAAATCTGGGCTTTCTGTGTGCACTTGTGTGACTACAGCTGATCCTATTTATGCTTCTACCGCGTTGCACCAGCAGTTCTCCGAGTGTGCTCCCTGGACCAGCACCGCCACTGTCCTACCTGACCTTGGGAAACTCGGGATGTGGGACCAGCATGCTACACTTTCAGGAACCTTCCTGATGCATGTGACACTGCTCACCTTTGGGAACCACTGCCGTCCATGCAGTACATAATTTGACCCTCTGGAAAGTATGAGAGAGTCTTCATTAAGGAGAAGACAAAGACTCTTAGAAGGGCCAGAGCTAAAGGTGTGGACTGGTCTGTTCCAAAGTGCCACCTCCACTGTCTTGGGACCTTTGGGAGTGGCTGGCACTGTCCTCACTCCCTTGTCTAGCACCAGCTGCCACCTACAGAGAAAGGCTCCTCCAGGCCTTTGCAGACCCAAGCAGGGAGAGGAGAAGAAAGAGGCCTAGAACATTCAAATGGGAACAGCCTAGACAACAGCGAAGGGACTATTTGTGCAAAAAGTGACCCAGGGCCTTTGTCCCATGTGTAGTCAGCTTTCCATCTGCACAGGACTCTGCTGCCTTCAGCGTCAGCAGCCGGTGCGGCCCACAGGAGGGGCAGCTGCTAGGATTCTTCTGGGAAGCACTATCAGTGGGGTGAGTGTGCTTCATGGCCAGGGTGAGCAGGAGCACAGCAGCCAGATGTTGGCCTGGAGACTGTGTGAGGGTTGGCACAGATGGCATTTGGTCTCAGCTGCTGCATCCAGTGACCCTGGGCAGCTGGAGCGCTCTCGGCTTGTAAGCCAGCTGTTTATGGCATTTCTGAACAAGCACAAAACCTCTCGCTGGCTGTTTTTAATCCTTTAAAGTTTGCTTTGATACTGGGAAGTTTGTTAATGGAAAAACCAACATGTCTCTAATGCTGGCCCTGGTCAACAGATTGCCAGGCATTTGATTCTTTTCTTACACCTTTCTCCTGGTCTGGCCCAGCTGAGTAGTTAATTCAGTAGCAGTGAATTGGAGGAGCTTGCAGTGGATTCATTGGACCCATAGTAGGGAGCTCCTGCTCAGAGCTGGGGAAGAATCAGGTTCAGGGGATACAGCAAAGAGCCCCTGCCCTCCTGGAGGTAGGGGACAAATTGATTTTGGTGAGTTGGCAGATGTTGAGAAGGGAATGAAACAGAAACCTCTTTCTGCATCATGAACTGCCCCAAAACCCAGTGGCTTAAAAGAGGAGCTATTCAATTTGCTCACAATTCTACAACCAAGGCTGGGCTCAGCAGCATGGTTCCTCTCTTGTGAGCTCTTTGTGCCTCTTGCTGCTCAAGCAGGAGCTGGATGAAGACTCCCGTTGGGCAGGAGTGACAAAAACAGAGAGAGGAAGCTGGAGGGAGGACAGCCAGATGCCTCAGGGTCATGAGGCCAGTCTTAGTCACAGGGAGGGCCAGGAGAAGTAGGATCAAAAGAACAGCCTGGGGACACTTCCCAGAGCCACTGCTGTTTTGGGTAATGAGTGGCACACAGGCTTCAAGTCTGAAGAAGCCCTTTACCTCTTCCAAGTGGCACCACTGACGTGGCAGCAGCTGTGGCTTTGCTTCTTGAGAGGTGGCACCGAGGTAGAAAGTTCTGGAATTGTCCTCAAAGTTTTTTGTCAAGTGTCTGAAAACAGCCCTGGGTTATTCTACTTAACAGTGGGTAATAGTATGGATAGAATGAAGCAGGCTCACGCCAGTCCTTTCCGAGAATGGACTAAATGGCTCAGAAGCAGCAGTAAACTTGTGACAATGTGGGCTCCCAGGTCCAGTCTCCAGTGGCCCCGAAACTGCAGAGGTGGCCCAGGCATGGATGTTCTAACTGTGCTCCCCACATGACCATGAGCTCACGAAAGCTCCAGGAGCCCCCCTGAACGTGTGTGCAGCCCCGGGTGGAGTGCTATGAACTATTTGGAGGCGAAGCGGAACCCTTCCTCCAGGCCCAGCTCATGGGTGTCTCCTGCTCCCCTCAGCCACCGTCCCAGGTGTAGTGGAGTGTTCAGCCAATGTCCTCACGCACATTTGCTGTTGACAAACAGAGCTCTGGCGAGCGGCAGCAGGTTAGACCTGGGCCTCTGAGGCAGGTGCCTGGCAGAGCCTGAGAGCAGAGGCCGAACAAGTTCGGTAGTGAAGAGACAGTGCATCGCGGGCCCCTGAGGAAGCCGTCCTGGATGCCCTTGCTTCATGGAGAACCTGGCAGCTCTGAGGCAGTGTGACTGGCAAGGCCACGTGGGTGACAATGCACACTCATGCCCGGGTCTCCTGGGCTCTTCCTGTCACCCAGGCTGGCTTCTGGTACGGGTGGCAGGCATCTCGGGTCCACTTATAAATTAAATCTCGGCAGCTTTCCTGTTCTTCTCCCAGCCTCGCTGTACCAGGCGGAGGAAGTCATTTCCCATGAGACCTCTGAAATCCTCCAGTGCCATCTGCACTCAGGCCTGAGCCGGGGCAGGGCCAGCAGGTGGACAGCAGAGCTCCGGGCCGTGCTCAGGCGGGATGAGGTCCACTCTGCTGCTCTCACGCGGCTCCTCTGAGGGACCAGGGCTGGCACCACTGCACTGTGGGCCTCAGAGGCCTGGGGTGGGATCTGCATATTGCTAATTACAGTTGATTCTGATTCAGAAAAAAAACCATTGATCCATTTATAACTTACAGTAATTTGCAAAGCAATTACCTTCTGGCATCTTCTTTCTTGCTAAAAATGAGTTGTTATTTTTCCCTTTTTTTGGAAAGAAAAGTGATCTGGACATTAACCATGAAGGACCAGGCTTTCTGCTTGCCCGAAAGATGAGAACTGGCAAGGTTCTGGGTGTTGGAACCGAGATCTGAGAGGAAGTATTACTCCTCAGAGCCTGCACATAGTAGCTCTGCAGCCCAACTTTGGCTGGAAGGGGAAACCAGCAATGCCCTTGCATGGAATGTGTAATCCACGCGGGCAGTGTGGGCCTTCCTTTCTCTCCTGCAGGCACATCCTCTAGAAGGTGGCCATCCAGACTGGAATCCTTTGCTAGCTTTGTGACTTAGAAACAAAATTCCTCACTCTCCTGTCTGTGAAGTGGCCTGGCTGGGCCTGCTTCTCAGAGGTAAGGAGGAAAGGATGGTGTTGGTGAAGCACCTTGTGGACGGCAGATGTTGTGTGAACGTTAGTTCTGCCCTGGCCTTGGTTCTTGGTGTTCAGAGGGGATCGAATGGGTGAATCAAATCAACAGACGGCTGTCTGCTCCCAGCTGGACGTCTGTAAGAGGCGAAGGGGCGCAGGGTGTGGACTGCACACATCGGCAGGGGCCGTGGCCATTGCCTGTGCCCATGCCGTGGCTGATGGTGGCCATTCTGCCCAAGGGCCCCAGGAAAACGGGCTTCTCAGACTCAGCTCACACAGCGTTTGCTGAGGACTTGTGGCCTAGCGGGAAGGAGCCTGGGTTTAAGAGCGGTGAGTCCTCAGTGTGAGCTTGGACTCTGCATTACTGCAGGAAGGACGTGGGGCAAATCTCTGCACACTTCTGAGCCTCAGCAGGCGGGGAGAACAGGAATCATCCTGGGAGGTTCCAAAATCTTGGTACTCAAGATGAAAAAGGCAACATTTTATCAAATCGAAGTGACACGTCTCATTCCCGGGGAGGGAAGCCCTCCCCGCTGTGGGTGCGGTGCTGAGCGTAACCCTCCCTTGAGCAAAGCCTGGCCCCACTGCAGGATCAGCACCCAGGGCTTGTTAAAATGCACTCTTGGGCTCCACCCCAGACCCTCCAAGTCAGAAGGGGAGCCCCGCACCCTGCTAGTGACCCCGCCTTTTGGGAAGGGGCTTCTGTCTGCAGCCACCGCTCCTTTCAGTCTTCAGGGAAGGTGAGCAAAGGCCCCTCGCAGTTAGACATTCAGTGAACCAGAAATA